AAACTATGAAAGCCTGAGAGTCGTTCAAAAACGAATTTTCTCTATTCACACAGCATTAAAAAGACTCAAGGAACTCGACTGATGGAGAAGAGTATTAGGATAATGAAATATTCAAATATGAAAATTCAGTAATTGAACAAACAAATTTAACCTAACAAAACTACTAAAACCTATTTTAAACCTTCAATTTATTAGTTACTTGTCAGAGAATTGAAAGTAATTGTATCTTCCCAACCAGAATGTTTAATGAGTTTGACCACCGTCCCAAATCTTCTCAAATACTCCCTGAATTACATGGAATCATTTCCTGACTGTATTTTCAATTCCAAATCAAAATTAATTCCTGGGTTTCAGTCATTTATTGTCTCTATTTATCAATTAAAATACGTTTCGGTGTATTTTTCCACCATCATCAGTTTTAATGTGTAGCGTTGTTGCTACTTTAAGCCTTGGCATATATTTGGAGTATTAATTTTGTCCATTAATGGTCATTAAAGTCAGGAAAATATGTACAATGTATTTTCAATTTTAATATAAACTAATTTCCTGGGTTTCAGTCATTTATTTTGATATCACAAATTACTCATTCTTTAAAAATGTTTCGGTGTCTTTCCACCATCCTCAGTTGGTCCAAAACAACCTATTCCTAAAACATTTTGTCCAACACATTAATTATTATAACATTTTAAAATTCGTTGGCTTTTAAGAAAAACGGTCATATTATTTATAGGCACAGCCTGTCATACTAAACACAAAAACACTTTAAAATTTTAATACCCTAAAAACATATTAAATCTAAAGGCATGGAACCAAGAATTCAAAACTTTGTATTTCTGTATTCCAACCACAGAGCTGCTATGGGACCCTACGATAAAGTACCTATTCAAAAATAGATTACAACAAAAAATCGAAGGAAACCCGATTTTAAATACTAACGACATCTAGCTTGGAAAAGAATCAAGAATTCAGCAAGGGAGGCACTTGGAAAACGAACCATAAAAGGGAGCAAAGTAACCAAGCACAAGACACCATGGTTCCGCCCAGAAGTCAAGGAACATTGCAAAGAAAAACGAAAAGCCTACCTAAAATATTGTACTATGCGAACGCCAGAATCATACAATAAATCTAACCAAGCTAGGAACAAAACTAAAAAATTAATGAGAAAAATAAAAACGATCAATGGAAAATGTTCTACTTACGCCTGGAAGGTGATCTACGGGCTTTAAATGGAGATATCGCAATTCATAAAATTGCACATAAAGGAGCTCACTGAACTGCTAGAACCGACCCACATAAAAAAGTAAGAGTGGATCAGATATTTAACCGAAATTGTTCGAAATGTTCGAGGGCTAAAGGGATACAAAATGGGGGATGCAGAAATCAAAATAGTGTGTTATGCAGACGATGCCGCACTCATTGCAGAAAGTGACGATGACTTACACTTACAGACAAGTATTTTATAAGTCTGGATTATTCTATTTGATATGAATATGTGATATGTGTTAATTATAATGGAGCAGAACAAAATTTAACACAATGGGCCATATTTGCTCTATCGATTGAACCGGAATTCGGATTGCAAGTAGTAAATCCGACGTATTTCGGTCCAGGTAGATTTAACGTTTTAATTGTACATATTGCGTGAAAAAAGAGAGAAAATATATAGATCTATTTGTGTAGTGCCATTTCTACACACCTTCTTCATTAACAAATTATTTTTGAACGGACGGCTTAACTCCAATGCATCAAAGCTAAATGGTATATAACAACAGACAAAAATTCTTAAGCTGAAGGTCCAGGCTTTATTTTTGTATGAATGAACTCCAAGAGATAAAAGGAACCGTTGTCAAAAGAATGAGCCGCTTGTCGGTCAATATTCACATGCCTACAATTTCGACTTAATGGATAATTATTGATAATTGCTTTTTTCTCAGAAGATTTGCGTCGTAATTTCTTATAACATGGGTCTAGGCAAATGCTTGATTTGTAAGATTTTTTAAAAAGTTCATGATTATCTGGTATCTGCCTTTGGGTTGGAATTTAAAAATTGTTTAGATCGGAGTACGTCGCTTAAAGTATCAGCAATAAACAATCCAAACTAAATACAGTTAAATTGCTGATAATTAGACTAACCAGTTCATAGTTTAAAAAAATTACTAGCGCGATTGAAGCGAAACAATTATACATCTAATAATCTTGAACGAAATTTCTAGGGGTAAACGTTCATAAAAGATAAAAATCCTGGCTGTGAAATAGTTCCAACCAGTACCAATAACATAAAAGAATTATCGAACATTTTGTCATTGAATCATTTACAATACGCAAACAAACTATTTTGTGCTATTTGCTATCCAAATAAAACGTTAATTGAACAATGGGCTTTCATGTACGGTATATATCAATTATATATACATAACAATAAATTATAACGGACGCACGATGAGAGATTTTTCCGCCGGTTACTGGACTGAACGCCGATATGTTTTTATTGTGGATGTTTTTTTATTGTTGTTCGTAACTATTTCAGTTATGAAAGTGGCCCCATTTATTTTAAATAGGTGCTTCCCTATATTTGCATGTGAAACTGATATTTTCTGTATTGTTGTTTTATTTTACTTAAAGAGGTCAGTTATAAATTCTGCCACTATTTTCATTCCTTTCTTTAATTGTTGCAAACCTAGTTTGAACAAGTTGGATTAAAGCAAAATTTACATTTGCTGAGAAAGTCAATCCCCTGTGTAGGTTTCTATTGCAATTGCTGATTAAGATTACCAACTCGAACTGGAGCAAAGCCCTGTTAATGGATATTATTGCTTAATATTCAGTAAATATGTGGAATTATGATAGTCCAATTGTACTCGTGCACTAAGAGCGTTCCACTCTCATGCATATTGATATGCAGTTGCCGTTTCTCGTTCTCATGGCATGTAACTCGAGTTTGGGACTAATCTGCATGAATGTTGCTAAGGTTTAACCCAATTAGTTTTCATGTGATATAGCACAGCTTCTATTTCTAATGTTATTGTAAATAATTTCACACATCGAAATTCTTTGATAATATGGCACCGTTACTGACTAGTCTGGAACAAACGGAAGCAACAACCTTAACCGTCGCAGAAGTGAAATTAATAACAGGCTGTTGTTTAGCTCTCTAAACGCTAAGTCTTATAGTATTCTGTATCATATAGTATTCTGAGCAGGAAGGAAATAATCTCTCAATGGATCTTGGTTTTATTAAAAGTTTACATGTAAAATGACAAAGTTGAAAAAGAATGATAATTACGAATTTTAATACTTAAGCTATTACTAAAGGTTATTCCTTTCTAATTCAAAAATTAAGTCTGATGGTGACTTAAGATTTGAAGGGTCGAAGCCAGGGCGTTCATAAAAATTGGAAAAACATGCTCCAACAATCAACACAAGTGTTTTTCTTATATAAACAAGATAATCTGGACCTTTCTAGATACTGTTAGGTGGCTTACTCTGTATGAACAAAGAAGGCCACACCATTGCTTTCCTATATGGCGAATGGTTACCATCAGATCAACTTTTAATAAATCACAAAAAATGTACTTCTTTTATTGTAAAATTGCTTGAATAACATATTGGATAAATATAAAGTAACTAAATCAAATTAACCGTTTAATCCATACTTACACATAGCAAGTGGCTAATGAGTACAAATTTAACGAACTCAGTGTGTAAACTTAAAGTGAGCCACTTTTGAAAAAGCAATTTCTTGAATTGTAAAGTATTCAAAGTAAAACATATCTGGCTTCCTTATCTTGATTAACTTGCTATGGAAAGCGGAGTCATAAAACATTCAGTGAAGTAATTAACATAAAGCGGACGTTTCTTAGGTAAAATGCAAATCGGTCTAGAAATTGAAGGGTTTTTGTTGACGCAGCGACTGGGAAATTTATCAAACTTCCTCCAAGTCATTAAGAAAATGCGGCAGTGACCTCCTCTGGAGAGCCTTAAGTTTTCGTGCCCTCAGTTTTACTAGCTTTCGGGAAAATCTCTCTGAGGATTTGATGTGATTTGTCAACGGATAGCATCGTTTGATATAACTTTAAAGTATTTAAAAGAAGGCTAGATTTTAAAATTCTTGCAAGTTTGGTAACATGAAATATTCTCTTTACTGAACTAGGTGTTTGCAATTGATGCAAGAAGTAATTTTCTTCTCAGTTACCAGTTACAATCGCTTTCTTTAATGTGAATGTAACAACATTCGCGACTCATATGACGACGATAAACTTTTATTTTATGTTAATTTATACTAAATGACACATCTCTACAATGTCTAAAAAATTATATTTACTTTGTTGTTTGATAGTTTTTGTAAGGTGATTAGACCTAATTTGTGCTCTGAACACTTTATTACTCCACCATCAATAAAAGTGTATGTAAACATTTAAAGATTACGCTGTGTTCAATTCCAAATCAAATTCATTCCTGGGTTTCAGTCATTTATTGTCTCTATTTATCAATCAAAATACGTTTTGGTGTATTTTTCCACCATCATCAGTTTTTATGTGTAGCGTTGTTGCTGCAGCTTTTWWGCCTTGGCATGC